CCCAATTTGAGTTATTTTGATTTTAATTAGATTATCATGATTTACTCCTTTGGGAATCTTTGCTAATTTATTAGATTTTGGTCGTGGGCAAGACACTGTCTGGATGGAGTAAAGAGTGGGTAACAGTAGAGAAGCTGCAGAGATGTGTGTTAAACTACAACTCTGCTTCCTGGTCTGCACCCTGGGTGGTCAGGGTTTTGGAGGACTAATAAATGTGGCCAGATTCCTAGAAAGAAGAGCTGCACCATCCAAAGTGGGATGGATGCCGTCTCTCCGAATCAGACCAGGCTTTCCCCAAAAGGATTGCCAATTATTAATTACATCTTTTATATTGACACTGACTAAATTATCAGTTTATAAATAATTACATATTACAATTAATATTTTACCTTACCTTTCAGAAGATCTATTCATTGTTTATTTGGAGTTCATCTCAGTTCTTTAAAATCTATCATTTTATTTATCAAACCCCCACCCCAACATTTTTTTTTATTAAAACTCTTACTAAAGAGAGAGGACTCAAAGTCAGCCATTTTAAATAGCTGGGGGATGTTTAAAAATCCAATTTATTTTTAGTCACATTTAGGCTGCAATGAGTGAGAGCATCTGGTGATGTTACGGCAGTTAGACCCAAACAATCAAAGCTGTTTAAAAGAAAAATGAAACCCAGATGTAAAGAGACTGCTCTTCAATACAGATACTGCTTTATAAACTCTCATTGGAATATTAAATGAACATAACTTATGCTTGGTTTATACAGCATTTGGTTATAGTTCAATAGAAAATGGAATCAACCAAAACAAAGCAGATCAAAGTTTGACAAAAATAGGATCAACATCTGATGTACGGCTGATGTAAGGCTGATTTATACTTCAAAACTAGGTCGTCTGCGTAGGTGTCACAGTTAACAAAAAGACGTCCCCGCCCCCTACACACACTCTGCTGCAACTCTCCCAAATTGTAGGTGACCGCAGACAGCGCCGCAGACAGAGGCCTCTGATTGGTCTAATCTAGACTGCTCAAAAAAAATGAAAGGAACACTTTGAAAACACATCAGATCTAAATTGGGGGGAAAATCTAATTGGAGACTAGGATTGATGGTAGCGGCGGACTGTGGGGATTTCTCCTTTGCTTCGCCGTAAGCCCCTTTCTGCAGCCCAGCCTTCTCCGTCTCTCCCATCTCTTCCTCCGGCCTGGCCTGGTAAGTGATCCCGCTGTTGTTTTGTTTACATCCATCCGTAGCACTCCGCAGCTTTTTAAATGGACAAGAATGTCTGTATTTAAAACATTTTGTGACCGTAGCTCTAGCAGGCATTCGCGATCATAGATGCGGTTTTGATGTCTTGTTTGTAGCATTTTAAGCGGCCTATTCCGTGAAATATAATTGAAATTGTCGAAAGCTGTTCTTGGCCGCTGTTTTGGAGCGCCGCCATGGTAACCATGATCTCGGGTTAAGTTTCTCAGAACTCAACTTCCTACTAACTGTGTCTGTTAGATGCTTTGTATGCAGCCACAGGCCATTATAAGATTGAGGTCTGTGGCCTTTCAGTGCAGAGAGGACATAACAATCCAACTTGTAAAGATGTTCAATGGAAACACTTTGGTTTGATTTTAGCCGGATAGGATTGGCATTAGGTGCCGTCCTTAATGAGAATCTTTTCATAGTATTAAAATTAGTGGTGGGCCATTATTGGCGTTAAGGTGCTGTGCTAATGCCAGACTCTTATTATGCAATAAACAGAATAACGTAGTTAATCTATTCTCAAAATTGGGTTGGGAGCTTGGTCTATACTGAGATTACTTGATATTGTAGCTTGTTTGCCTGCAGGTAAGTAACTCATGCTGAAACCAAGGTGCAGTCGCAAAGCTCTTCATTTGCACAAAACAAATACCAGGAAATGCTTGTTCCTTTAAATGTGGACCTTGCTTTTCTTGTGGAAAAGGGAGGTTTCACGTGGTAGACGCCCTGAATCTTCTCAGATCCTACAAGGATGGAGCTCCATTTTGGTTCCCCTCTTTTCAGAGGAGACCAATCCCCACTCTGAGAATCCATCCTCCTTTTCAGGAAGTCAGCGCCATTTCTCAGGGTGTAAGGTCAGAAAATGTGTCTTAATTGGAATGTAGAAACTGTTCAGGTAAGTTGCTGCCCATGACTTAACTGCAGAGGTCCAGGGAGGCTGTAAAGCATCAGTCGTCTCCATCAACTGACAGAAAACAGGTGTGTTTCCCAGGACATCCCACCTGCTGACGGCTCCAATCATCACCCCTTTTGGAACAGACTCCTCTTCAGCAAAGGGGGGGGGGGTTACATCCATCCAATTTACAGTTGAACAGGATTGGACCAGTTCCCATATCAATAGAAGATAGAAAGTATTTTGCATTTGTAACATTCTTCTCTATGGCTACGTTCACACTGCAGGCCTTGATGCTCAATTTCAATTTTTTTGTGAAATCAGATTTTTTTTTTTGCGTTGCCGTTCATATTTCCAACTATATGCGACTTGTATGTGATCTCTTGTGTGAACTGCAGTCATAAAACGCAAGTGTCCCGCATGCGCAGTAGAGGACGCAATGACGTCACAGGCCAGCGTGCTCTATTATCCCTTGTTGCTAGCATCAGACTGGTCTAAATCTCTCTGAGAGCCGACCTGGTTTTGGAGACAGACTGGTGTGGACTAAACGGAACCGATATCCTAAGCTGCTGTTGTCTCTAGCTCAATTCACTCTGCCAATCACTCAGCGAGAGAGAGAAAGATAGGTGTGTATATATATTTGTGTATACCTGTGTAAATCTGCTTGTGTATATAGTAATAATATTTATAATATGGATTAGTGGAAAACGCATATGGAGGGTTAGTGTTTAGGGGCTGGTTTTTGATTCAGCTGAACTATGTTCTAGCTGCAACTCTCCCTCCCCTACTATGTGGCAGTAAACCCATTTCCAATGTATTAATACCTCCTAGAGGGTTGGAGTAAAGACTTTAGTGTCTCACTCTTGTTAAATGCAATGTGACCAAAAATTGAGTACCTCAGGATTTGAAAATTGCATTTAGTTAAATTGGGATTATATTTCAAATGCAATTAATTGCCAAGCCCTAGTAAATTGCTGCCTATACTGCCAAAAGTGCCAATCTCCAGTGTTCAAGCAGGGAATGGTCTAAATCATAGGTCAACACTGACAAACACGTATGCAGACGCATATGTTTCTACGTAAAGGTGATATAGAGAAACCAGTTAACCTGACAGCCATTATGTTGGATAATGGGAGGAAGCCAAAGTACCTGCTGATAATCTATGGATAAATAGGAAGAAAAGGCAAATTCTGTTTAAAAAGAGCCAAGGACCTTCTAGCTGCAAGACAAAAGTACCAACAGCTATACCTCCATGCTAAACTAATTAAAAGCATAAAGTTGACCATGTAGAACAGGAATGTACCAGTTAAATGATCACAGAAACATTCAGAGTACTGTACTAGTAATTCAATTCTATAATATTTAATTCATCCCAAAGGGACATTCAGTTAAGGTACTGCCTGTCCGGTAGATGTGGTGTTCCAGGCCTTGCTGCCTTGAAACTACTAGTAGAGACCACACATTTTAACAATCATCTATGTCATTGTTCCTGCTTTTCATTTTTTTCCAGCCAGTTCTTTCTGTTTTGGGAGATGACTTCATTAAGTCACATCAGAAATCACAAAATGCATTAACATAGTTTTTTTTATAATCAATAACAAAAACACAGACTGACTCCTAAAGACTTTAGCAGCATGTCTTCCCCTCTCTGTCTTGTCCTTGTTCTCTGTCAGACCTTATAAATAACTTCCACTGGTTACACACAGAAAAATTGAGATAAAGATTATGCTTTGATAAATCATACAGTTCTACAAAAGAGTGACATTAACCTTTCAACAAGGAACCTAAACATGCATCCTGCAGGTAAAGGGTTTGGATTAAAGTAAATGTAAATGTTAAATTGGCCCAGTCAAAGTCCCTTACCCTCTAGATAATCTTACTCAGCTTCACTATTTGGGGGAGTGTTGGCCTAGTGGGTTACAGCAGTGCGCTTGCACTGTGGGAAGGTTGCATGTACCCTGCCTCCACTCTGGGTTCCTGAGCAAGATCCTTAACCCCTGATTGCTCCCCAGACGCCGCACAATGGCAGCCCACTGCTACCCAAGGGGTGAATTAAATGCAGAGGTAAATTTCTCCAATGTGAGATCAATAAAGTTCAAATATTATTTATTAAGTTATTTATTATTTTTTCATAAATTTCATAAGGAAAACTGATGTATAGAGATCTGCAGCTGTATTTGAAGCAAAGAAACATTTCTAAACACTTGGATCAAGGTGGGGCTGAAAGCCAGTGCTCACTACCTTTCTCACTGACGTTACTATACAACACACACTTAACAAGTGGCTCAAGCTCCTTGACCTGTCCCACCTATTGGATAGTCATTGTGGCTCATCCTTTGTATTACTAACGGGGGTCCTTAGCCATGGTCACTGCTGTAGAGGCTGGGGTAGTGGATTAATGCTGTCACCTTAGTGCCTGTTCCATCTTCCCTAAACTATATAACATCTGCACATGCCACTTTAGCACCCGTACAGATAATGGAAATGGTTGCAGATCAAACACAGATTCCTGTTTCATTAATTTGACCTAAAGACTCTTCTCATTTTGTGAAGTGTCACATTCAAACTCGTTCAAACCTACTCTTGTTTGGGCACTCATACTTTTTTTGCATGAGCTATTTTAGAGTCACTTACCCCGAGCAGAACATGAACAACTTTCTGCTGTACATTCACCTGCAGAACCATACCGAGTCTGTGACTGTGTTTAGTTTACAAACTTAAGCCCATCCATCCATCCCATTTATTTCTTCAAACACAGTTCTGTCAGTGCTGTGTGTGTGTGTACAGTTTAACTTCCTGCCCACCCCCCCACCAGCCCCCGAGCTGGGGAGCAAAAAGTCACTGACGTCCCCCTGCTGTCTGTTCCAGGCCACCAGGCAGTTTCTAGAGGAAATCAACAAGTGGACCAGTCAGCATGGAGTGTCTCAGCTGTCCAGGGAGCTGGCCGTTAAGTTCCTCATGGCTCGCAAGTTTGATGTCCTCCGTGCCATTGAGCTCTTCCACAATTACAGGGTAAGGAGAGTGATGTTGTTCCTGCACATAGCTGTGGCCTGTGTCATCATGTCTTTTCAGCCACAACATCCAGCTGAACTTGGCAGCCTTAGATGATGATTAGAATCTCTCCATATCTGAACTGTGCTTTTATCACAGCTGCTAGTCTCCCTGCTAGCCCTAATATTTTCTTAATTCAAAATGCTTAAATCACTTCTTGTTGCTTGAAAGTAAAGCTATTGGAGGTTCCTTTTAAACTTTGCAACACGTTTGCCTTGGCACAGGTGAGTCCAAACCTTTCTTAGACATAGACACACAGTTGGACTCAACTTTGTTTATCCCTTGTGATGACCCCTTAAGGGAAATATAGTACCAAAAAAGCATTAAAAAAGAAAAAAGTTGTAATGTTTCGCTTAGATATCTTCACTGTAAAGGGCTAAGGAGACTGCATAGTAGTTGACCTGGGTTATTGCACTTGTACTTCGGAGATGTACTGACCCTAGAAATAAGTGAAAAAATTACACAGGCTACACAGTAGCTGCCAATCACAGAGCCTGCTCGCCTCACCAGTTTGTCCAGTCTAGAGGTGTCCTTGATGGATGTGCTGCTTCCCCAGCACACAACCGTGTAGAAGAGGACACTGGCAACAACAGACTGGTAGAACATCTCAGACAGCTTATTACAGATTTTGAATGACCTCAGTCTACTCAGGAAGTGCATCCTGCTCAGTCAGCCTGTGTAGGCGGTTGGTTTGTGTTGACCAGTCCAGGTGATTATCCAGCCATACCCCAAGGTATTTGTATGAATCCACAGCCTCCACGTCAGCTCCCTCCATTAGTTCTGGCTTCGCTTTGGTCCGTTTCTTTTAGTCTATTACCAGCTCCTTTTTATTGGAGATGTTGAGCTTTAGGAGGTGGGTGGGGCACAAGGTGGAAAAGCCACCACCAGACTCCTGTACTCCTCCTCTCTGTTGTCCCTGATACACCCCACAGTAGCTGTGTCATCTGCATACTTATGTATATGACACAGCTCAGAGTGGTAACAGAAGTCCAAGGTGTATAAGGTGAAGAGGACAGGGGCCAGCACTGTGCCCTGGGGGACTCCAGTGCTGCTGACCACAGTTTCAGAGATGGTGTCCCTCAGCCTTCCTGTGAGGTAGCTGGAGATCTATTGCACCAGACAGGGTTCGACTCCCATACTATTCAGTTTGTCCCTGAGCAGGGAAGGCTGGATGGTGTTCAATGCACTTTAGAAGTCCAGGAAGAGAATTCTTGCTTTGGCACTTCCCTTATCCAGGTAGAAGTGGACCCAGTTTAGTAGGTAAAGGATTGTGTCCTCCATTCCTACGCCTGGCTCATATGCAAACTGCAGGCTGTCCAGGGCGTGTTGTACTTAAGCTCTTAGGAGATTGAGGAAGATCTGGAAGATCAGGAGCGTGGCTGTGATAGCAAAGGTAGGGGTGCAGGTGTAAGCGACGGGTGGAGTTGCTTTTTCTGGGGGAGGGGAATTGTTGGGGAAAGGGGACATGGCTGTAGCAGGAGTGTAGGGGTCACAGCCTTATTAAACCTGTTGAAGAACTTATTCAGTTCATTAGCCCTCGGCATTGTCCACTGGACCTTTCTGTTATCAGATCGAAAGTTCACTAAAAATCCTCAAAATGGTTTCACAAATTTTAAATTAAAGGAAGTTACCTAAAACATTTAAATTACATGTTTTAACTATTAAAGTTTCATTAGGAAGGAGTTAATGATGAAACACTTAATACTTACAATTTTTACAAACTAAAGTGCTTTTTCCATAAGTCTAAGTTTCTCTGAGATTAATTTCATTATTACTGGTTTGAGGTCTGGCCTCTTATATTTGCTAAAGGCTGCAGCCGTAAACAAGCTTCCTGAACAATTATGGACAGATTATATCACTATGAGTAAAATTATTTAAGTTCATTTTTTAAAGCATGATCAGTATTTTTTCAAATTTTAAAATGGGAAATTGTATCCAGCCCCACAGCATGCCGCTGCCACTGCCATGGATCATAGTTGGCACAGTGTGCTGAGCTTTGAAGGCCTTTGTGTCTAAATAGCACAATCTATGTGATGTTTGATGATAAAACTGTTCTTCACAAAAGATTTAACTTCTCTTTGCAGCTGTCTTCAGTGTCCAGGTTTATACTTTTTTAATTTTTGTAGGTACCTTGTACCTTGATCGTTCCTGGGATGTTCTTGGATTTCCTAACTTTTCTTTGCCGCCCTGAAGGGAGCTACTTATAGTGGATTGTTCAAGTAACTCAATTATCCCAAATATAGATGGGCACGAGGGAAACCAGAAGTCTACCTAATCTTACAACCCGATCTCACAAGCCAAAGTTCCAGCTTGCTGGGAGGCATGGAAGGAAAGATTGGGGACCTGTGTCGATTTGTCTGATGACTTTAAACAGTAGCAAATAAGTTGAACGTTTAGCATGAAAACAGTTCTTTTTCACTTAAATTGGAGACTAACAAAACATTTCCCTAAACAGCCTCTCACTCGAATTCATACACAGCGCCCAACATGTCAGATAAAAGAAATGGATTGTAGGGATTCAATGTATTTTTTCAAGATTTTTTTTTTCTTCGAAGCATAAGATGCTGTGCATCTAAAAGGAGCATTTCTGGTCTTTTCATTTCTTTTGTATTTTTCGCCTTCTTGTTCTGTTTTTGTTTGCCACGTTCTCAGCCACCTCCCTCGGAGAGAAGCCCTAAAAGAACCGGCCATGAATTTTCTAACAGTCAAGAGCGTCACGGGTCTTCTAGGAGCTGGGCGTGTCTGTGTAATCGCCCTCCTATGAGACCAACAACAATGGAGTCTGTGGAATTAAAGGTGGTCAGTGGTCCTACCAACATTAAAGTGGGACATGGTGTTTAAAGCTTAACTTATTAATCTGATTATCACCTGTGTGGAGTAAAGGGGAAAAAAATTAGTGAGCATTTAAGAGTCTTAAATGTTGAATAGTGGTGATCAGAACCAAATATGTAAAAACAGAAATGGATGCTAAAAAGATCAAAGAAGCCAAATAAAGTGAGTGAATGTTTAATCTTGTTATTTACTCCATCAGTGGGATCCCACAAATATCCACTTCCAGTTGTTTGGCCTGTATGAAAGTCAGACCAGACAAAAACAGAACAAGCAAACATGGAGGAAGACCTTTTGTCTGATGACACCAAAGTTGGATTTTACAGACAAAATGGCTTCCACACCATCACCAGCATTAAACACAGTGGTAAAAGTATCATGTTGTGGGGATACTTTCAATGGGTGCAATGAAGCTGATGAGACTTAAACATGGATAGAATCAAATAATGAAGCTTCCTGCTTGAAAACCTGTCAGTCTCCAAATGACAGAAGTCTGCTTTCTCCAAAAGGACAGCGTTCCTAAATGTAAAAAGTTGCCCAGTTGGAGTTCATCAAAAGAAGAAACTATCACTTGCTTGTTTTCCTTCCCTCACAGTTAGACGCTGATTTATTTTGGTCTCTGACAAACTCAGTAGAATACATGAAAGTTTTTCGTGATAATGTGACAAAATGTGGTAAATTAACCGATTGAGCTTCAATGAGACCTTTGTAGAATAAATTAATCTCTGGCCTCTTCACCTCTGTTTGTTTGGATTGATGTCTATTGATCAGAGTCAGGGAGCCATGAATCAGATCACCAGTGGAAAATAGCATATAGAGAATATAACAGAATAAAGCCACAAGCTTTATTTAAATCGAAGCATCTAATTTCACCATATTTATTATACCTTCTGCTATCTGAGAATAGCTACACATTCACAGTTTTCATCTTCACCTTCTTCGTCTTCAGTCATAAATTGAAGCTCCAAGATAAAGTTTATGGAACCCCTGCAGAACTACTAGAGCTTTCTAGAAGCTAGCTAGAAATAAGCTCAGTCTTTCTGGAATGTCAAATAAGCAAGTCTATTGTTTACTCTGAGAAATTAAGGTCGTTGTGATTCTAATGCCTCCCAGCAGGCTGACTTCACCTGCCTTTTGATCTGTTTGTCTTCAGGAAACACGTCTTAAAGAAGGAATTGTCCGACTCCAGCCTCAGGAGGAGCCTCTGCGCTCAGAGCTGCTCAGTGGAAAATTTACAGTCTTGGTAAGATTGTTTTTTTTATCTCTTGACATTTAATTAGAAGGCTTATAAGGCATCATATAACATAAGAAAAGAGTTGAAGTCAAATCTGTGTTTATCACAATTTCATTTTGTCAGACTGTTTGTCAGACTGGCGGGAGAGCCTCACCTTTCATCTGAATTGGTTGTTTGTTTGTTTGTTGAGCTGTGGGGTAGTAAAGCACCTCTAACCTTTTCCTCCGTCTGACCCTGCTGAGAAAAGCCCACACCATTACCCCATTTACACTACCCTTGAAAAACCGTGCCGAGACCGGTCCGAGCTCAGTAACTGAGATAACTTATTGTGTGTAAATCGAAAAGAAATTCAACTGAACCGAGCTAGACACAACCGGGCCGAGCTAACTGCAGACCAGTTCCAGAGGTGGGCTCGACTCGGTTTTTTCCTGGCTCGGTTCTCTGATAACAAGAGTGCATGATCAGAACGCGTCATCTCCGTCTGGCTGCACATCCCGATCCACACTCCATTCCAGTAGTTGGCGGTAATGCCCCTCCGGAAGTTGCTTGCCAACCAACACAAAACGGAAGAAGAAGAACAACTATAAACAATCAAAATCTTCTCCACGCAACATTTTAAATAATGGCTTCAAAAGAGCGTGGTGCGACCTTGGATGATGCCGAGACTGAGGCCGTTATTGCAATTTGGGCCATTTTGATTTGCTTGATTCCCTCCTTCGGAAGAAGGAGGGAATCAAGCAGTTTGTGGTTGTAATGCACCAAAAGTTGTTTCCCAACCGCCATAAAACACAAGAAGAAGAAGACGAAGAAGTTCTTCGTCTTCTTCTTCTTCTTGTGTTTTATGGCGGAGGCGAGGAGTTGAGGAACCGAGATAGCGTGATGTGTAAATGGTTGTCAGAACCAAGCCTGGTTAATCGTTAACACAATTTTTTTTTTGCTTTTCTGCAAGAGCGTTTGCGTAGCTCCAACTGAGAGTCCATTTTGGAGTCGCACAGAGCATATGTAGAAAGCGGGAAACACTCGTGAAGAAACAATCATGAAACATTTAAAACAGTAGTACTTTACACATAATAGGGGTTCACAAGGACAGAAAATGCATAATGTAGCGACCTCTTTGAGCCTCGCAAAAACAATGGACAGAAAGCAGTTTATCACTTTCACCAAAAAAACTATTTAAAAAACTTTAGGAGGATAGAAATTGGATATAGTATACAACATGATATAGTTTGCATTATGTTTTTACTATAGGCACATTAACGTTCTCTATCTTTTCTGGTTTGAGATGCTGCACCTTCTTGTTTAGTGGGGCTTTGCTTTATAGCTGCGCCAGTGCTTTTTATGTCTTATTTGTAAATAAATTTCATATTTTAATTATCTGCTGCCAGAGAGGAGCAGGCATCCTGTTTCAGCAGCTCCTTTTTTTCAGGAGTTTTGCCTACTTTAATCTATCTTTTTCTTATATTCCTTTTTGGTGGGACTTCGTATCTTTTCTCATGCTGTTTCTTACAAAATGGAGCTCACGTTTTTTCTGTAAAGCTCTGTTTTTAATTATTTTTTCACTGTATTTGCGTGCGTAGCCTGCATGTTTGCCAAACCTTCCATTGTGTGCACCCGGGACAAGCTGCTCACCAGGAGCTCTGCTGTGCTGCCACCCAGGGAGCGAGCCGGTATCCTCCATAAGCTTAGGAGGAAGAGACGGAGCAGCCTGGTGGGAGTTGGACTATGCCGCCGGGGAAAGAGGTACAGACCAACCGTCCCGTCCATCATCATGGGCAATGTCAGATCTGTCTCAACAAGATGGATGAGCTGGCAGCTCTAACTCACCATCAAATACAAAACCGCAAGCACATTGAGCTGCTAGCAGTTAGCATGAGGCAAAATAATCTACCCCGGGAATTTAAACACCATATCGTGATAGCTGTGTACTCCCCTCCTCTGCCAATGCAGCAACAAGTCATCACCTCTCCCTCCCCTTGGGAGCTCTGTACACAATCCCCCTGTTACCTTCACATTCTTCAACGACTGACTACTTCACACCCCCCAGCTCCCGACCATCATCTAAAGCTTGGTGTACACTGTGCGATTTTCGGGGCGATTTTCCAGTCGTGCAAGAATCTTATGATCGGGCCTGATCACTTTCATCCTGATCGTGCGTCGTGAGTCATGTAGTGTACAAGGGGTTACGAGGTGGCGATCAGCCTCTCACGACCACCTCCGATCAGGAATCGTGAGGTCGGGAGAATATCAAACATGTTTGATTTTTCTCCCGACCGTCGTGGGCAAATCGCTCAGGGCGCATTTAAGAAGGATTCTTCCTTTTATACTTCCCCTCAGATGTAAACACAGCAGGATGGCAGGGATGCAATGAGTAAAATGCAGTTCTGTCTGTAAAATTGACAGACCGTAGTAGCCACGTTCACTCAGCCATTTATCAAATACGTCGTCGCCTTTTCTTTTTAGGACTTTCAGCACAAAATTGCACAAATTGACAAGGCAGCGTGGTTCTCAATAGTGAGCTTAATATCCCTCTTCTATTTGTTTGGCTTCAGGATAGAGAGGTAGAGAGCAGCTCCATTTCACTACGGAGCTGAGTCCGACGTGGCTTTTAGTTGTACAGTGCGAGCAGGTAGATCACATCAGAGTGTTGGGCTGAACATACATCTGAACAATAAACTGTACGACTTAACCTGCAGTTTAGTCGTACAGTGTGAGCAGCAGCTGGGTGCAACGATTGAAAAGAAATCGCACAGTGTACCCCCGGCTTAGCCACCCACTCCAAAGAATTCCATCCCACAGCCCACCCCCTCCCACACCATCTTGTCGCTTTCAACACAGGTAAGGAATGAGCTGCGAAAGATCAAGGTGCGAAAGGCTGCGGGTCCAGATAGCATCAGCTCCAGGATTCTGAGATGTTGTGCAGAAGACCTCTTGTGTGGTATTGGTGCCGAAGACAAAACATTCAAATGACCTCAGCAGCTATAGGCTGATAGCCCTGACTTCACACCTGATGAAGACCCTCGAACGGTTGGTCTTTAACCATCTATGCCCCCTGGTGAAGACTTCATTGGATCCACTGCAGTTTGCCTACCAGCCTGGGATTGGGGCAGATGATGCCATGATCTTAAAAAAGATAATAATAATCTTTCTCATTCACCAAGCTCTGACTCACCTAAAGAATCCTGGAAGCACTATGATGATAGTGTTCTTCGATTTCTACTGTGCTTTAAACACCTTTAAGCCAGGACTCCTAGGGACAGCTGGAGGTGTCAGGAGTGGCCCGCCGCATGTCCAAGGGGATTTTGGACATGTAAGGACACAGGGCTGTGTCTCAGATAGGTTGGTTTGCGGTACGTGGGTCCCACAGGGAAGAGTGCTGGCACCGTACCTCTTTACCCTCTTCACTGCAGACTTCTCCATCAGCTGCCCACGCTGCCACCTCCAGAAGTTCTCTAAAGATTTGGCCATAGTGGGCATCATCATAGGTGGGGACGACTCAGAGTACAGACAGTCGACCCATAATTTTGTGGTCTAGTGCCAGCAGAACCCCTCCTGATTAATGCAGGGAAAACCAAGGATCTAGTGGTGGACTTTTGCTGGAGCAGATCTACCCACTGACACCAGTGAACATCCAGACTGAGGTCTTCTGCAGTGCAGGCGGCACTCTTAAAGAACTTCTATGACTGTTTTGGCATCAGTCATCTCCTATGGAGCAGTCTGTTGGAGCAGTGACTTATCTGTAGCTGAGAGAAGCAGCTGGATCAGCTGATCAGGAAGGCCAGCTCTGTGATTGGATGCCCTCTGGACTCAGTGTAGGAGGTGGAAAACAAAAGGATCCTAACTAAATTAAAACATCTGTGGGATAATGGCTACCACCCCCATGCGTGAAGCTGTTGCAGAACTAGAATGCTCCTTCAGTGACAGACTGCTGCACCTTAAATGCACCAGTGAGCATTATCACAGATCCTTCCTCCAAGCAGCTATAAGATTTTGTACTTACTGTTCCCACTGACCTCAATAAGTTGTTACTTTCATTCTGATTTTAGCTGTTTCTGTCTTAGTCAGTTAAAAAATTCTGCACATCTCATGTTGCTGCCATTTCTCACATACCATTACTGTAAAAACCTCCACAGCTTTTTATTGATTATTTATCCTCATGATACTGATCATTTATATTGTAAAAACTGTACAGTAATTGTTTATTTACTTAACTCTGTTAGTTATTCTGTTATTTTTGTACACTCTCTAAGGTGCACATTTTGTTTCTGCCATATTTTTTGCTTCTGTAACACAATTTCCCCATTGTGGAACAATAAAGAGATTTTCTTTTCTATTCTTCTATTTTCTGCTACACACAGATTGTTTTAATCTGTGTCTAGCACGAAGGCAGAAGTGAAAACAGGTCTGCCCACCCTGCCTAGTCATAGCCTCTATACCGTGTGAAATGGGAAACAATGCAAGATTAAAAAGTCATATGCAACCTGTGTTCAGGCCTTAAGGAGAACAAAGACCTGCAGGGTTCTTGAATGCAACACTGTGTCCTTATTTTGTGTAAAATGGGCAGTAAGTCCCTTTAATAGGAGCATTTTCGCAACTGTAAACACGTGTTAGCTGCTGATCTTTGCTTCAAAGTTTGTTTTAATTTTTTTTTGCCAGATGAGTATTTTTTTTTTCATCTGCCAATCAATTTCCTCCTGCTCTTCATCATAACACTCGGACAGACACAAACATAGCAAACCAAAAGGAAATGGAAGCCTTCACTTCCATTTCTCCTGCATCCTGTTCCACCTTCCCCTCTCTGACGTGCCACAGCGTTAATGCTGCACATCCTCTGGTCTAACGTCACAGTCCCTCCAGCCTCATTTCCTGTTTGTTGTATTTTTAGCCCTCTTGCCAGAGAGCATGCACAGGCTTGTTTACGTAAAAAGGAATATTCCGGTGTGTCTGTGGTCAGACGGGATCCGGCGGGTCCGAGGTTTTGGTCGTACTCTCAGTGTGAGCTGAAGTGTAATCAAAAGAAGAGAAAGAAATCAACCTTCTGTAACGAACTTCTGGAGCTGTGCTACCTGCATGGCTTGATTTGTGGTGATTATTTGCCCTGCTGGATTTTTTGACCACCCTTTGCTGTGATTCATGGTGCCTCCCTGTGGTTGTTTGGTGTCCATGGTGAAGTTAAAACAGAGCACCACTTGTAGCCATATTTCATGTTATTAACAATAAAGCACATTTTCTAACAGAAAAGACAAAATGTAGTCGTCACTCTTGCACCTGGAAAAAGTATTCAAACCTCCAGAATAGCAAGCACACGGGATTTATTCATCCCAATGACATTCTGATCATCCAGTTATCTTCAGATGTCAAATACTGAGTAAGTCTTTGTTATGATAAAGTCAGTCACCCCAAAATTTTACAGGGACATGGCTGTCTGCCCTTAATGACTCGATGAATTAAGCAGGGAAGCAGCCATAGTGGCCCATGGGAGGAGATTCACAGTTCAGGAGGGGGGAATATTTAATGTTCAGCTCACAAATCTATGAAACAGCGGTCGATTGAGAGCCACTGGAAGCCTAAACATCTGGAGTGTGCTCTGGTCAAATGAGATTAAAACTAAACTTTTATCCACCGTGCAGTAAAAACAATATTTACTCCTGTACAATAGAGGATGGCCTAGTCAAAGAGTACATCTGAGCTTGAGTATTTTGCTAAGTAACTGGTCCCAACTGTTGATCAGAGATGTGCTCCAAAAGATATGGTCCTGCAGTGTCCTGAGGGGCTGAATGCTAACGTATAATCCAAAAATAAGAGGTCAGGCTTGATAAAAAGACCACAGATCCTGGACTCCCTGGAACAGATGTTGGTAAAGCTGTGATTCGTCTCCAATGAGAAGCTTCTAGAACCTGTCCATATTCTTCATTTTTAGAGTGTTCGGGACCCAACAGGAGCCTCCATCGCTCTCTATACAGCCAAACTCCATCACCCAAACAAAACGGGCAACCACGTCGTGCTTCAGGCTCTCTTCTACCTTCTGGATCGGGCTGTAGAAAGGTGACCATGTATATGGGAATAAGCAGAATTTGGGCTATTCTTAAAAGTTCTTTTATTAAAGAATAACATTGTACAAAAAGCCTGCTATCAGCAAGTTTAAGTGAGCAGATGACACCTTTTGATTCTCCTTTTATTTTCTGCAGCTTCGAAACCCAGAGGAATGGCTTGGTGTTCATCTACGACATGGCGGGTTCCAACTACACTAACTTTGAGCTGGACCTAAGCAAGAAGATCCTCAACCTTCTCAAGGTTGGAACCAGTTCGTTCCAGATGGGCTCAATAGATGCTGATGTAAAAATTAGGAGCAGAATGGAACCTACTGCGATGTGTCATACAGACCAGACTCTGCTGCATCTAAACCACTATTACGAAAAAGTGTGGTAGAAAGAGAGAGTGCAGTTGGTATAAAACAGTTTTAACTGTTTAGAACAAATAATCCCAATGTTGATAGTATAAACTGTAACATATAGGCTGTAACATCCCCCATAAGTGATTATCATTGTTACAATCCCAGCTTCCAGCCTTGGCTGGGCCCGGGACAAAATCTAAAGAACTGATGAGGGGCGGATCAATTCATACTTTGTATGTAGTGTACACACACACACACACACAAGCACGTTTCTCTATACTCACGGGGGTTTTCAGTTGACTGTCATTCATTTCTAACCCGTTTCTACAGCGGAACCATGGCTATTACTATAACCCTAACCATTAAGGGTTCATACCTAACCCCAATCAATTCCATTCAGTTTATTTATATAGCGCAATTCACAACATGTCATCTCAAGGCACTTTACAGTTCACCAGATTCAGATACAGTTCAAGTTGAATCAAATCTAACTGAGGAAAACCAGTTGATTGCATCGACTCATTGACTCTTCAGCAATCCCTCACACTAAGCATGCTTGTAGCGACAGTGGAGAGGAAAAACTCCCCATTAACTGGAAGAAACATCAAGCAGAACCAGGCTCAGTGTAAGCGGCCATCTGCTGAGGCCGACTGGGGTTCAACCTAACCTAAATTCAATTTACACCTTTGTCCAAAACCGAACGCCTAAGTCTAAAACTGCATTTATACCCATGGGGACCAGAGATTGGTCCCCACTAGAGCACACAGTCCCCACTGTGTACTAAGTAGGATTGTCTATTGCCGTGTCTGCTGCCCTGAACATGCCATATAGTCGCATCAGTCAAATTCAAAACATCTCAACCTTTTAATAATACCCATTGGTTCCAGTCTTAATTATAACTTTATCTAGCAAAGATAGTCAACAAACCCTTGACAGAAACTGCCGAGACTGTTGCTCCATCGGACAGCTTACAAGGTATGACTGCCTTCTCCGGCTTTCGCAGGTGAGGTCGATCTAAAGTTATGTTCGATCTAAAGTTGTTCCTCTGGCTTGAGGCGGCTTCTTCAGGTGAGAGCCGCTGTACAATTAATATTAAAGTGAGGGGGCTGCTCCCTGACTGTGTGCAAAGGGGAAGATTCAGGTTCTGTATTTTCCTGTCTCCACCTGCAGTGCAGGCAGCCTTATGTATAGCAGCTTGACAAACTTTAGAGAAACTGCGTCAGCGGCATAACCAGTTAGAAGGAATGACTAGAGGGGGTACTTCCCAATACTTGCAGTGGATAATTGAAAGAAAGTAATAGGAAAGATTTTATGAAACTTAATAAAGCTCAAATTTCCTTGCAAAAAACTTCAAAAAAAAATACATACATATATATATATTATTTGTGGCAAAAGATGTAGAGGGCTGATTCAGGGCCGCCCCACTATCCTGAGCCCGGCACAACTGGCCCTGTTGTCCTCCTCTGTTGGTGGTCGTGATTGTTAGCATTACAAACTACTCCACACGCTCCCTGTGTGTTTCTACAGAATGTCAAAGTGTCTGAACTAGGGGTGTCACAACACTAAAATTGTCAACTCGATACCAATACTTGGGGAAATATCCGATACTCGATACCATTTTCGATACCGCAAGGATAAAAACAAAGACCCCAAAATAATTAACAAATTTCTTTTTTTTTAATAGATAAAATACAAAAAAAAACAAATACAATAAACAGTAAGAACAATATTTTGAGGTTGTATGCTGTGCATACAAATAAATATATATATATATATTTTAAGTGTTCCTTCCTTGGCTATGCTTTACACACACAACAATGACATTAGCCAGTTAACAAACCAGTTAACAATCAAAAATAAATGCTGTACTCTCAGCAGCTGCATCTGTTATATAACAGTCTGAGACTGAAAAGTGCACAGAATTATTCAATCACACAGTGTTCAGAAAGTGCATCTATTCTGCACTCTACATGAATGACTATATGCTCTTGATGTAGCCCAATACATTCCAGACACCAGCTCTGCATGTCTCAGGACTTTGTAATAATTTGCAAGGTTACAGCCCTGCTGGTCCAGAGGTCAGTGGCACAGGAGAAGTACGGATTCCCCTGAAGCTGCTGCAATACTCTTTGTTTTGTTGTGTTGTACAGCTCTGGGATTTACTGTACATACAGTAATTCCGGGAGGGAAGAGCATACCTTGGGTTTAGCTTGGGTTTAAATAGGAACCTGATCCATATGTTCTCTGCCACATCTCTGTTTATTTTCATAGCTTCTGGGGACTTGTCATCACATTTCCATTATTGGTCAAACGTAGATGGTAGAGTCTGCTCTGTGTGATCGTGTTTGGACGAAGGTCTCTGATTCATTCTGTGACTTCAAGGGACAAAATAACACTTTTCAGTCACCAGCATTTATATAAACATATTAACTCAATGCTCATGTACACTGACACTGTGCCAATTAAGGTAATATGGGCATACTTTATGCCTGATTTATTTGTTTATGATCATAGCTAATGGCTAAAAATAACACGTCAACATTAATGCGGGCCACTGGCCACTATAATATTGGTAATAGGTACGTTTGAAACAAAAGACACTAACCTGTTGAAATGCAGTGAAAAGCCCAGGGTGTTGGTCCTTCAGATATTTCAACAAGTTTGAGGTACTGCTAGACCTGGTTGCCACCACCTTGAAACAGTGTTTGCACACCGGCCTATTCATATCCTTCGGTTTTCTTTCCATGCCTGGCTCAAAAGCAAAATTCCTCCAAACAGCACTCTTGCCTCTATTTCCACCAAAACTGGTTGTTTTGGCCCCCCTCTAGCAGCACTGACCCCCTCTAGCAGCACTGGCACCCTCTAGCAGCACTGGCCATGCTCTCTACTGTTATTGTGCGTCACGGTGAGGGGGAGGGTGCCCACTGCTGTGTTTGTGTGAGGATAGAGAGAGAAGGGAGAAGCAACGGCCATTCAGCGTCATGCGCGCGGGGGGTGGGGTTATTGAGGTACCGAAACTTTTGAAAATGGGTATCGTATCCGGATAAGTTTTAGTATCGATACTTTTTTGAGTATCAATACTTTTGATAACCCTACTCTGAACATCTCCAAACAGGTTATATAACAGAATATGATAGAAAAATCTAAAATATAAACACTCTTGTCATCTTAATATTTCCTGTCATCAGCTGAAAGACTTTCTTTCTACTGTAGCACTGAAAGCTTGCTGGGCCGTCTTTGCCAATTTAGCTGAGATCAGTAGACCTAGTTTGTCCAAATATTAACTAAAGCTGAAATAAGATGCTGCTGGTCGCCCTAGTCTTCCATTGAATTGATGAAGCTTATAAAGGCCTCTCCAACATGCAAACAGAACAGTATAATCTATGCACCATGGATGCAGGTCATATTTATTAAAATGTGCTGTCTCTGTCCACCAGGGGGCATTCCCTGCCAGGCTGAAGAAGGTGTTGATTGTTGGGGCCCCTGTGTGGTTTCGGGTCCCTTACAATCTGCTAAGTCTACTGCTGAAGGAGAAACTGAGGGAAAGGGTAAAGGCTCACAGTTTACCATCAAATGAGCAGCTTATGAATTTGCCTCCATTTTTCCTCAGTCCAGATTTCCAATCATCAATTCTCCTGACACCCATCTTTCCAACTCCAGGTTCAGATGGTAAAAATGGCAGAGCTGCGTCAGCACCTCCCAAGGGACTGCCTCCCCCAGCACCTGGGTGGCCTGCTCCCCCTAGATGCATCCAGTTGGAACCAGCAGCTCCTGGCAGGTCAGAACGGCAGATTGGATCCTGTGGACGAGCTGGTGGGAATCCCCTTGGAAGACTCCTCTATCCACGTGCCCGGCCCCGAGTCCATGCGCCCCCAGGATTTGCTGGCGCACCTGGGCCGACTGCAGCGCTCCGGCGTCTATCAGGAGTATGAAGAGCTGCGAAGGGAGGCACCCCCTGGGACCTTCCACTGCGCACAGTAAGGGTGGAGGACCTGGTGTCCTCCATTTAGGGATCTCAGTATAAATGATTCATAGGAAGTTATTAATGACAGGCTTTCAAAGATACAGATTACAAGAAGTTAAATTTGATAACAAATGGCTCCTGTTTTAGTTCCATGCCTTTATACTCTTTATTTTCCTCAGAAATATTCACACCCCTCGAAACGTTTTTATTTCACATTAAAACCAAAAACTTCAGAATATTTCATTTAGTTTTGATGTGTTAATCTGAACCAGAAGCTAGGGAGTCACCTTTACAACAAAAGTTTGTTGGTAAGACTTTGTTTGGAGAAAATACACATGCAGACAAAATTGTTGGTTCCACGGTTAAAGAAAGAAACTTCAAAAGAATGATTTATAAAAAAAAATAAACATATAAACAGACCTGAATCATGGTTTATTTACCTTATAATTTTGTTGGCTAACCTTTAGATTCAATCACTGCAACCAAGCAACTCCTCTAATATTCAATTTCCTAATCCTTTCAGCAGGTTTTCTGCTCCAGTTCTCTCTGGTTTGAAGGCTGCCTTTTCCAAACGGCCAGTTTCTGGTCGTTGTAAAGATGGTCATTAAGATTTAGGTCAGGGCTCCTAGAGGCTATCGTAAGACTTGGTTAGATGGACAACTTTTGCAGTGTCACATAAACACATTGTCACTGACCAACAGGACTCCACTGGCAGCTATTCCAACTAGAAGTCTGAAAGTAAAACCATTTTTCACATATTTATTTGTGATTAAAAAACAGTTATTAATAAATAAATTGAATCTTGCTCCTTATTTCCTCCCTTTTCACAATCATGCTCTATTATACTCTACAATCACATCATAGGAAGAAGTTGGAGGGATGTGAATACTTTTACAAGCCTCAGTGGTCACATTTGAGAAGCAGTAGGGGGCAGTAATGAGCTCTGGTGTTGTTTGGTCAACAGGATGGCCTACAATCAGGAGAAGAATCGCTATGGGGATGTGCTGTGCCTTGATCAGACCAGAGTTCGTTTAAAACCCTGCAGAAACGAGGTACGGATTTCTTTTCAGATTGAAAAAAAAATTTAATTATGCTGCCCCTGTTTTCACCTTTAAACCGAAGCATGTCTCCACCTGTGACACACATTAATATTCCAGTTCATTTCCTTAATTGTTCTTTGCCATATTTGTCCCATATTATTCTACATTTTAAAACAAAAAAAAATTAACAATGAGACCCCCAGAGTTTTTTGTTTCTGTTGAACAGGGGCTTTTCTTTCAGATTAGAAAGACAGGCTTAATGATGGCAGCTAGTAGAGCAGAATAATACAGAAGAACAAGGCCGACCTTAACCCATGAGCTGCTCCAGACCGCTCTGAGCAGCTTATAGTGGCAACAACATGACAGGAGTAGCTTGACAAGATAGCTGCTCTTTCTCATTCATTTATGATGTTAAAAATTAGAATAATAATTTTTTTTATTCCATCTGAAATAAAGACTCTATTCATCTCAATACAGAGCACAGACAGGTATTTAACAAAAATTCAACGTTATTAAGCTGAGTCGACTCACATCTGGATGACTCCCAAGTAATCCCCCCCCCACACACACACACACACACTGCAAGTGGGTTCCCCCAATCTACGTCAGTGGTTCCTGATCACATACAGTATAGACACACCTTCTCATTCAAAGAGTTTTCTTTATTTTCATGACTATGAAAATTTAAGATTCACACTGAATGCATCAAAACTATGAATAAACTCGTGGAATTATATACTTGACAAAAAGTGTGAAACAACTGAAAATATGCCTTATTTTCTAAGTTCTTCAAAGTAGCCACCTTTTACTTTGATTACTGCTTTACATACTCTTGGCTTTCTCTTGATGAACTTCAACAGGTAGTCACCTGAAATTATCTTCCAACAGTCTTGAAGGAGTTCCCAGCGATGCTTAGCACTTGTAAGCTCTTTTGCCTTCACTCTACGGTGCAGCTAACCCCAAACCGTTGATTGGTTTCAGGTCCGGTAATAATGGAGTCCAGGTCATCTGGCGCTACACCCTATCTCTCTCCTTCTTGGTCAAATAGCTCTTTCACAGCCTGGAGTTGTGTTTGGCCTCATTGTCCTGTTGAAAAATAAATGATGGTCCAGCTAAACACAAACACTATGGAATAACGTGCTGCTGCAAGATTCTAGTTTTTAACATGCTGGTTCAGTATGCCTTCAATTTTGAATAAATTCCCAACAGTGTCAACAGCAAAGCACCCCCACACCATTACACCTCCTCCTCCATGCTTCACAGTGGGAACCAGGCATGTAGAGTCCATCGGTTCATCTTTTCTGTGTCGCAGAAAGACACAATAGTTTGAACTAAAGCTCTTAAATTTGGACTCATCAGACCAAAGCACATATTTCCACTGGTCTAATGTCCATTCCTTGTGTTCTTTAGCCCAAGCAAGTCTCTTCTGCTTGTTGCCTTAGCAGCTATTTTACCATGAAGGCCTGAATCCCTTAGTCTCCTCTTAACAGTTGTTCTAGAGATGTGTCTGCTGCTAGAATACTGTGTGGCATTGACCTGCTCTCTAATCTGAGCTGCTTTTAACCTGCGATTTCTGAGGTTGGTGACTCAGATTAACTTATCCTCTGCAGAAGACGAGACTCTTGGTCTTCCTTTCCTGGGGCGGTCCTCGTTGGAGCCAGTTCCATTGTAGCGCTTGATGGTTTCTTTGACTGCTCATAGACAGAAACTACCTTTCAGAATCATGGACAGGTTTCAGATATTACAGGCTAACAATGAAACCAAACAACACGCTCCTCAGCTTCAATTTGCATGTTTCCAAGCAATACAATGCTTTGTCTATATAAAGTCTCAAACTCACTGCGGATCCAGACATTTGAATTGAGCAAGCTTCCAGGAGGGGAAGCGAAACGTCTTCAAACCTTGGAAACCAAGTCCAGTAGATTGTTTTTTAAACTTTTACGGAATGGCTATGACCTGGATGACTGAGAATCTTCATCAGCATTTCATAGTCATAAAAATGAAGAATACTCTTTGAATGAGAAGATGTGTCCAAACTTTTGGTCTGTATTTACGAAATTAAATTTTTGCTGCAGAAAGTACATTTTAGAAGGTAATAAGAAATTATACTAGTAAGAAGTAAGTTTAATATATCTTAAATAAATATATCTGAAATACATTTCTTCATAGTCAAAATGATACAAATGCTGACCAGCAATAATAGGAATATGGAGATTAAATTAATTTATAGAGATGCAGGATATTTATTCTAGATGTGATGGATGTTATTTTGATTTTATTTGCCTTTGTTTATTTTTATAGCACAATTCAGTACAAGGACAATTTTTCATTTTGAAAAGGAAAACAGGTTTTTCAGATATCAGAAATACATATTTAGTAAAACAAATACAAATCAAAACGGCTTGCTGTTGTAACCTTGATAGCATTACTCGTTTATTTTTTGAATGGTAGTGGATGAATGTATCTAATTAGTTGAAATAATCTGAGTGCAAAAAAAAAAGAAATGGGTGAGAATGATGTCTAAAAACATTGTTCTAATAGATTCCTCCTCTTTTTGATTCTGTTTTAAATAATGCAGTAAATACTTAGTGGCTTTTGGAAGCAGCTTTGAATGTTATCATCCCAATAAATGGTCGTTATTAGCAGTTATCAGTCCTGCAGAATGGCTTCAGATTGTGCCAGTAGGCTGAGTAGCTTGTTATCATTGAGTTAATCCTGTTCTTAATCCTATTGAATTCCCTTTCCCCCCACGGAATGAATGAATCTATTTATTTGTAATCTGAAAATGATTTTAGTAGTTCTTCATAAAGCTACTGTAGAAATAAATAAAAATGAAATAATCCGCATGTTGCTCCTATTCAAATAACCAAATAGAAATATCCTGTCAACTGAGTTCTAGAATCCTCTCCCTATAAACATGTAATTCTTTGTAAATTCATACCAATCATTCTTTAATGAGATCCTTGTCAAACGAACATGCAATGTTTGTTTTTAAAACCTAATGTGTCTAACGGACCTTGTGAGTGTTTTTTTAATGCAAAATCTACAACAAAAATCTAACTAAATCAGGAACTAAAGCAGCATGATTGGCTGTAAGGAGGGCGGAGATTGAGAACACTGAGTTTACTGAAAAAAACCTGCTGCCGACCAGGTTAGCTCTGGGGAGAATGTGACTACGCTGACTGAAACAGAGGTTGAGGAAACTCTTTATGAAATGGAAACTCGGTGTCCCCGCTTTTAGGTTTAGAAAACGTAAGAGTTTTCAGTAAACCTGCTTTGTGAAGCGGACCCCAGAACGATGAAACTTTCTCCACTTTGTGACAACCCCGCTTTCTAATCTGCACACAAGACTCGCCTGTTTCCAGCTCAGCTTGATGCTCAACGTGACTTTTCATTTTATTTTTTTATCTCTCGGTTTAAAAAGTCTTGCTTTGAGCTGTAAAGACAGGAAAAGTTAATCCGTGTTTTAGAGATTCAAAACATATTTTCTCAAATTATTAGAATTTTATGATAAAGTTAATTATTTTCCATAATGTAATTATAAAACTTGAACATTCATACATTTTAGATTAATTGAAAACTAGCTTAAATATTTCAGGTCTTTTATTGTCTTAATATGGATGATTTTGGCATACAGCTCATTAAAACCCAAAATTCCTATCTCACAAAATTAGCATATCTCATCCGATAAAAAGAAAAGTGTTCTTAATACAAAAAAAGTCAACCTTCAAATAATTATGTACAGTTATGCACTCAATACTTTTTCTTCACAATATTCCACAGATTCTCTATTGGATTTAGGCTAATTGAGCCCAGTGATACCATGGTCAGTAAACCAGTGGTTTTCAGCTGCTAGGTTGTACTGAAAAATGAAATCTTCATCTCCATAAAGCTTTTCAGCAGATGGAAGCATGAATTGCTCCTGATAGCTGCATTGACCCTGCCCTTGATAAAACCCAGAGGACCAACACCAGCAGCTGACATGGCGCCCCAGACCATCACTGACTGTGGCTACTTGACGCTGGACTTCTGGCATTTCCTTCTCCCCAGTCTTCCTCCAGACTCTGGCACCTTGATTTCCAAATGACCTGCAGAACTGAGCAACAGTCCAGTGCTGCTTCTCTGTAGCCCAGGTCAGGCGCCTCTGCTGCTGTTACTGGTTCTAAAGCATTTTGACCTGGGGAATGCGGCACCTGTAGCCCATTTCCTGCACACGCCTGTGCACGGTGACTCTGGATGTTTCTACTCCAGACTCGGCCCTTCTCCACAATCTTCCTCAGGGTCCACTCACCTCTTCTCATTGTGCAGCGTTTTCTGCCACCCTTTTTCCTTCCCACAGACTTCCCACTGAGGTGCCTTGATGCAGCAGCACTCTGGGAGCAGCCTATTGGTTCAGAAATATCTTTCTGTGTCATTCCCTCTTGCTTGAGGCTGTCAATAGCTACGTTTACATGGACACAAATAATCGGATTGAAGGCCTGATCAGATCAAAAACTTTTCATGTAAACATGTCAGACTGAAGATTCTAATCCGATTCGGTCCGATCGGAAATAAATTTAATTCTGAAAGAGGTGGTCCTTGGCGGAGGAGGTGGCAATAAATGTAAGGTGCGGATGGACATGCCATCCTGCTCTCTACCGCTGAAGCGAAGGAGGGTTAGCATAAGGTACTGGTGAGCCCTTAACTTAACTAAAATGACCACTAAAAACAAAAGTATTGTTACAAAGATGCGACGAAGGTCCATGATGGAAAAAAACGACATCAACAAACACGACTGAAGAAAAAGAAGTGAGAGCCAGGCACAAAGAGTAGCTAAAGTTGAGAAATTGCGGACAAGTACTAGTTTGTTTACAAAAAGCCGGTTTCTTCTTCTACTGCTAAAGCGGAAGTACACAGTTCTGCGCATGCTTAAAAGATTTAATCTGATCCAACGCTTGGTACATGTATACACACGTCATGATCAGATCATTTCATTTAGTGTCCATGTAAACGGAGATTTGGAATTTCTGATCAACCAAGGTTTGGATCGGATTGGGGAAATTTTGCGCATGTAAACGTAGCTATAGAAGGCCTTCTGGACAGCAGTCAGGTCGGCAGTCTTAGAGATAAATTGTTGATTAAGATGATACAGAGACCTTTTTCATGATATGCTAATTTTGTGAGATAGGAATTTTGGGTTTTCATGGGCTGTATGCCAAATCATCAGTAGCTACGTTTACATGGACACAACTAATCGGATTGAAGGCCTGATCAGATCAAAAATGTTTCATGTAAACATCTCAGACTGAAGATTCTAATCCGATTCGGTCCGATCGGATCTAAATTTAATTCCGAAAGAGAGAGGTGGTTTTTGCCGATCGCCATTCCGATTGCCGTCCATGTAAACACCCATTCGGATCTTAAGAGTAAAATAATCTTCACTGCGCATGTGTGCGACGTCAGCGTGACGTTTTTCCGCCTTGTCAACAACAGGAAACCACCGGTTGCTCTTGTGAACAACATGGCGGGAGGAATCTAGGAACGCCGACTTATACACTCAAGTTCATTTAAAGCTGCAGGAAGCAGGAATTTATCCTCCTCCTCTTCCTCTTTTCTCTCTCCACAGCCCACTCGCTCTCCCACGCCGGTTCAATCGCTCATTCTCTACATTTTCTCTCGGACATTTCGCTGCCAAGCGCTTTTTTCCTCCTCTCTCCTTTTTTCTTTCCGCTCGCTCCGAGCGCATCGTTTGTCAGGCCTCCCAAAAACCAGACGCAGACAGAACTGCCAAGTTTGGCAGGAAGTTCTGCGCATGCTTAAAAGATTTAATCTGATCCAACGCTTGGTACATGTATACACACGTCATGATCAGATCATTTCATTTAGTGTCCATGTAAACGGAGATTTTGAATTTCCGATCAACCAAGGTTTGGATCGGATCGGGGAAATTTTGCTCATGTAAACGTAGCTAATGTTAAGACAATAAAATACCTGAAATATATGCTAATATTTTCAGAAGGACCTGTAATATTTAGAATCAGATTTATTGCTAAGTACTTTTGCACTTACAAGGAATTTGACTTGGTATTGATGGTGCACACAATACCAGAAATTTACAGAATCTATAGTTATATCCAATATAAAACATTATATACAATATATAGTATTTAGCTATATTCTATATACACTGTAGGTTGTGAGTTAATGTAAAGCAGGAGGCTGGAGATGCTATGTTTGTGTAGCTTCAGGGCACCGTTCAGATCCTCTCTGCTTTAAGTTTTTTGGTTTCTAGTTCAAATGATTCCCATATTGTATAAATTAAGAAGTAGTGTTATACATTCTTGTCTTTCTAAACAAGACAAATATTGTGTAATGTAAACAAAAGAGAGTTGATTTGACATCATTTTTTTAGGCTACCTGTTTATTATCTGCAGCTATAATGATTATTGATATAATTATAAGATTGATGAAACATGAATGTTTGAAGACATTTCTAAGCTGCTGTTTGATGATCTTTACTGAAGGGTGTTCAGTCTTTTCTCACTGCATGTATCTCATAAATCTATTGTTACATCAGAGCCCAGAGGAAGTTTAAGAATTTCATTCATATTCTTTTTATCAATTTTCTTCATATTTAAAGTAGTAGAGAAATTATTAAAAAAAAAGTGTTCTGTTTTTTATATAATATTTAATGAAACTAAATAAATAAAAATGTTTCTCATATTTTGATTGTTGATTTCAAATTGAAAAACAGAAGAACTGATAGACGGGCTGTAATATCTTCCTAGCTCTACTTATGGGACTAGTATTTAAAAAATATTTTAAAAATCCAATCTTTGGACTTTGTTGTGTTTTCAGAGATCAGACTACATCAACGCTAGCTTCATGGATGGCTACAAACAGAAGAACGCATATATTGGTACCCAAGGTATGACTTGTCATCTTGAATTAAAGATCGTCTTTTTTCAATGGTGCATGTTGTTTCTCATGCTGTCTGTAGTGTTGTGTTGGATTGTGGTTGTTCTTGTAGCTCCTACTCCTTTATGCTTAAAGGAATAGTACACCCAAAACACGATTAGCCTTCATTTTCTACTCACCCCCATGCTGAACAACACTCTGGAGTACTTTTTTGATATCTCAAATGCATCTGGAGATCTGGGAGGCTTCTTGCTGTCTGCTGACATTCAAATAATGGAGGTCTATGGTGCCCGAGGCAGAAAGGTCCATAAAAGTCCACAAAAAAAACGTGTCAATATTCCTCCATACTGCTCGTCCAATGTATTCCAAGTGTCCTGAGAGGGTAGCATCCAAAATTTACTCGAAACGAAGTCATTTAGAATGTTTTTTCAGAGCATAAACAGTAGTGTATAGGACTTCCTGAAAGCGCGCACATGCGCGTTCACGACGCTACGGAAGCCGGCATACCAAACCAGCGCATTCAGCTCGGCAAAGAACTCATGCTCTTCCTCAACACTGAAGTCCTCAGACATTTTTCTTTCGTTGTTTCTTTCTTTGCACAGGTAAACAGCACATTTCCTCTTCTACGCTTGCATTATTGGCAGAGCAGATGCTGAATGCGCACTTTCATCTGGTTTGGTCTGCCGGCTTCCGTAGCGTCGTGAACGCGCATGTGCGCGCTTTCAGGAAATCCTATACACTACTGTTTATGCTCTAAAAACATTCTAAATGACTTCGTTTCGAGTAAATTCTGGATGCTACCCACTCAGGACACTTGGAATACATTGGACGAGCAGTATGGAGGAATATTGACACGTTTTTTGTGGACTTTTATGGACCTTTCTGTCTCTGGCACCATAGACCTCCATTATTTGAATGTCAGCAGACAGCAAGAAGCCTCCCAGATCTCCAGATGCATTTGAGATATCAAAAAAGTACTCCAGAGTGTTGTTCAGCATGGGGGTGAGTAGAAAATGAAGGCTAATCATGTTTTGGGTGTACTATTCCTTTAAGGCTGTGTATAATGGTGTCATTCAACGGCTCTAAAATCCCAGACCATCATGTAGATGTTTTCCCAAGAGTAGCCTTTCATCTCTTCTGTTTTACACAGGACCACTGGAAAGGACCTATGGGGACTTCTGGAGAATGGTCTGGGAACAAAACGTGCTTCTGATCGTCATGACAACCAGGTAATTTAAATAGGAAATAAAGCGTTCAATCAAACTAACTTAATCCACAAGATTGTGTCTTACTATAATCAGTAACTATATAAGAAATGTGAAAAATATGAAGGAAAAAGATGAAAAACTAAGCTTTGTTTTATAGTTTTTTTGGTAAGGGTGTTGTCATGCTGCAGTACCTCAAATGTTGATGTCACGGGTTGGTCAGTGCTAGCTGTAGCAGTGTATACATCGGATATACCAGTGACCGATTGCAACCATAAAGCATTTGAAACATTTGTTTCGATGGAAGACGAAGCTGAAATGACACTGAAGCGTCTAAATCACATTACTTATTAGACTTCCAGCTGTCATTTCATTTTTTTTATTTTTCACATATCTATTACTGTACAAATGTCCACAGCTGATTTACTGTTCTCCAGATAAAGAGTAGTATATTGTATTTCCAAACTTGGAAACAAAGTCCAGTGGATTGTTTTTAACTTTTTTAGAATAACTATGACCTGGATGACTGAGAATCTTCACCAGGATATTGGGGTCGTCCTTTTTCTTTTTCACATTTTTGTTATCGTCTTTCTCCATTAAGTTGTATTTCTATCACCAAGTTATTGTTAGTATACGTTTTGATTGCTTTTCTTCTTTGGATACATATTGGCAATTAATATGTTTTAATCATATGTAATATCTTTAAGTTATTTGTCACAACATAAAATTGGTCCCATCAAAAAAATGGTTTCAACTCTTTTATTAAAGTGCAGTGTGTGTATGTGTGTGTGTGTGTGTGATGCAGGACAGACGAGGGCAGTCGTAGGAAGTGTGGACAGTACTGGCCCCTGCAGGAAGGTGGACAGGAGGTCTACGGCCACATAGCTGTGGTGAATCAGAAGGTGGTTCACCATAGCCATTACAACCACACCACTCTGGAACTGCACAACACTGAGGTACAGCCCCATCATCAACGTTCTTTCCATTGCAAGCTGAAAACATACCAGGATTTGAAATTTTATTTGCTAATCCAACACAAAAAAGGAAAAAAGTTATGATCATTTGTTCTCACTTGTTGCCAAGAATCTATTTCTGTTTATTAACGTATAAATAGTTAACCACTGATTAAAAATAGTGGCCTAGTGCTAAGAGCATTGCGCTTGGGTCCCGGAGGTTCTGAGTTCAAGCCCCACAGACTGCAAGTCTTGGTCCCTGAGCAAGACCCTTAACCCCACACTGCTCCCCAGGCACCACATAATGGCAGCCCACTGCTCCCTAAAGGGATGGGTTTAATGCAGAATGAATTTCGTTGCTTTGCACTCCCGAAAAAGTAATGACAATAAAGTTGATTTCTATTCTATTCCAAAGTACCTGAATCCTTGTTTAGGCCAGAAATTCCTGCAATAATGAACAGTATTGCTGAGACAAGGATCCATGGGCTAAAGATGTTTTCTTGTTTGTTTTATTTGAAGCCATGAATTGTTCAGCTTGAAAGAAATAGGTGCTGCTTACAACTGTCAAATGATTGGGATCCAGATTTAAATAGGAGATCAACAAATAAAGTTTTTTAAGGTTGATACTGTTTATTTTAACAGCAGTCGTAATAATCCTGATATGCTTTGAGCGTGGGGAGGGTTAGGTAAGGCTGATGAATGCATCAGCAAACGCCTGCTTGTATCGACCAATGCAAGAAAAAAAACTTATGAGTGGCCAAAAAAAACCCCAAAATAATCAGCCAACCAATGTTTTGGTTTCAATCTAATCTTTACATTCTGTTGGTAATAATGTGTTGCAAATGTGCCTTACCTCATGTCTGTGGAGGACTAGAAAGCAAAGACAGGATGGGCCTGTTAGAAGTTTTCTTTAACGGCAGATCATCAACACCTTTCACAACATTCTCTGTCCGTCTTTTTTTTTGTACATGTAAGTTGATCAATTAAAAATGCTTAAAAAATGATTCAACAAAATGAAAACCTAATTGAACCAAAGTGATTTACAACCTATTCATTGAACCTTTTGCTTAACTCTAGCAGCATTGGATTTGGTTTACCTCTCATCCATTCCTTAAATAAGCTGAAGTACAATGACCGTGTCGTGGTTTTCTGTCCAGACGTGTGAGCAGAGACATGTGAGTCACTTCCAGTACCTCAGCTGGCCTGACTACGGCGTCCCCACATCAGCAGTGACTCTCATTGACTTCCTGGGTGCTGTAAAGAGGCAACAGAGGAAAATGGTAAAGGCTTTAGGCCCTCATTGGACCAGTCACCCACAGGGACCGCCAATCGTGGTTCATTGCAGCGCAGGGATTGGGAGAACAGGTAAGACCATGGCTGTGTCCGAATATCCACCCTAACTCCTCAATCACAACAAAGAGCAGGTACTATATAATGGACTGTATAGTGACTGGGTTAACTGACCGTTCAGATTATGATCACTACTTTCCGCTCCCCGTTGGTCACATGACTCCGGTTCCTCGTGCTGTGTCTGCATAATTTTTGTCTTCTCTTGCCCCAAACCAAATCCCATGATGCTCTGTAAGGAGAGCTCTTGCAAAACATTCTGAGATATATCAGCTTGTCTAGTGACCATGGATGCCCACTACTTTTTAAGGTACATTTTGGGAAATTTTGAGTCCCCTGCTTTTTCATCCACTAGAAATTTGAACACAATCATGTAAAATGACCTAAGATTGATAGCGCTCTATGTAGGGGTTAGGGCAAACATTCGGACACGGCCTGTGAGATTTTTGACATTGGTCTAATACAGGTGCTGGTCATAAAATTAGAATATCATGAAAAAGTAGATTGATTTCAGTAATTCCATTTAAAAAGTGAAACTTGTATATTATATTCATACATTACATACAAACTCATATATTTCAGATGTTTATTTTGTTTAATTTTGATGATTACAAATGACAACAAATGAAAATCTCAAATTCATCATATCAGAAAATTAGAATATTGTGAAAAGGTTCAAAATTGATGGCCCCTGGTGCCACACTCTAATCAGCTAATTAACTCAAACCACCTGCAAAAGCCTTTAAATGGTCTTTCAGTCTAGTTCTATAGGCTACACAATCATGGGGAAGACTGCTGACTTGACAGTTGTCCAAAAGACGACCATCGACACCTTGCACAAGGAGGGCAAGACACAAAAGGTCATCGCTAAAGAGGCTGGCTGTTCACAGAGCTCAGTGTCCAAGCACATTAATAGAGAGGCGAAGGGAAAGAAAAGATGTGGTCGAAAAAAGTGTACAAGCAAGAGAGATAACCGCACCCTGGAGAGGATTGTGAAACAAAACCCATTCAAAAATGTGGGGGAGATTCACAAAGAGTGGACTGCAGCTGGAGTGAGTGCTTCAAGAACCACCACACACAGACGTATGAAAGACATGGGTTTCTGCTGTCGCATTCCTTGTGTCAAGCCACTCTTGAACCACAGACAGCGTCAGAAGCGTCTTGCCTGGGCTAAAGAGAAACAGGACTGGACTGCTGGTGAGTGGTCCAAAGTCATGTTCTCTGATGAAAGTAAATTTTGCATTTCCTTTGGAAATCAAGGTCCCAGAGTCTGGAGGAAAAGAAGAGAGGCACTTCATCCACGTTGCTTGAAGTCCAGTGTAAAGTTTCCACAGTCAGTGATGGTTTGGGGTGCCATGTCATCTGCTGGTGTTGGTCCATTGTGTTTTCTGAGGTCCAGGGTCAACGCAGCCACATACCAGGAAGTTTTAGAGCACTTCATGCTTCCTGCAGCTGACCAACTTTTTGGAGATGCAGATTTAATTTTCCAACAGGACTTGGCACCTGCACACAGTGCCAAAGCTACCAGTACCTGGTTGAAGGACCATGGTATCCCTGTTCTTAATTGGCCAGCAAACTCTCCTGACCTTAACCCCATAGAAAATCTATGGGGTATTGTGAAGAAGAAGATGCAATACACCAGACCCAACAATTCAGAAGAGCTAAAAGCCACTATTAGAGCAACCTGGGCTATCATAACACCTGAGCAGTGCCACAGACTGATCGACTCCATGCCACGCCGCATTGCTGCAGTAATACAGGCCAAAGGAGGCCCAACTAAATACTGAGTGCTGTACATGCTCATACTTTTCATGTTCATACTTTTCAGTTGGCCAACATTTCTATAAATCCTTTGTTTTTATTGGTCTTCAGTAATATTCTAATTTTCTGATATGATGAATTTGAGATTTTCATTTGTTGTCATTTGTAATCATCAAAATTAAACAAAATAAACATCTGAAATATATGAGTTTGTATGTAATGTATGAATATAATATACAAGTTTCACTTTTTAAATGGAATTACTGAAATCAATCTACTTTTTCATGATATTCTAATTTTATGACCAGCACCTGTAGTGTGTATTTTGTAACATGAAGCCACGTCTAATCTCTCAAAGATCACGTTGATGTTATACTGCATGACGTGTGCTGCAATTTATTTTTGAAATCGGAAAACCTGAGTTAGGTATGTAAGTACGGTGCAATGAATCCCGGATGACCGCCAGAGATGGTGCTCCAAGCAATGTAAGATCACTCTTGTGCTTGCGAAGGTCGAGAATTAGGGGCTAACCCTGCAAGGTGTATGCCTGAGATGTGGCCTGCGCAATGCAACGTGCCAGCCTCTGTTTCCAAAGGGCACAACCTCTCTGAGGGCCAGCATTGGATATAAAGTGGCAGAGTGTATACAAAACAAAATGCTCTGAATGCATCTTTGATATTAGAGAAGGCTTGGTCTAGAGTGTTCTGACCCTGAGTTGCAAAGTCCCCACTACTGATGAAAACGCCCTCTGTGTGTGCAGATTGAAGCTCAGAGATAGCCTGATAAAGAATATTCATGGCCTCTTTGATATTAGTGCTGGCGGGGGAAATAAACATTAATGATGCTAACCCCGGTAAACTCTCTGAGCAGATAGAACGGTTTACGGTCAGTTAACAGTCAGCAGGCACCGGCTTTAGGTCGATTGATGTGAACCAATCGCCCGGGGAGATTGCCTGCAAGACTCCCCTGGTTGTCAGCATGCAAAAGGGCATGTCCTTCAGAAATACTTTCAGACCCCTGAGGTCTAAAACTGGAGACAGTATCCCCTGCTCAAAGTGGAGAGCACCCAGGTTTTAAGGGTGTAATCTCGGCTAAAACAAAGCTGACTCGGGGTAAAATATCCGACCGCCAACCAAACACGTCATCTGAGTGTCCGCTAGCCACTTGGGGGGCCTCATGGGAACGCCTGAAAGGAACATGGGGCCAGAGGTGCTGTCTGGACCCAATAAATCCCAGCAGTGGGATCTCGGGGCACGGCTTGGGCAGTGGACGCCTGAGAGGAGCCACCCAAACAGTAGCAAGCCGACTCCTGGCCAGGGGGCAGCAGGATCTGCTGAGAAGAGGCCATCCATTGAGGAGGTTGTTCAATAAAGGTCAACTGGGCCAGTCGCACTGCTCGGGGCAGACCACTGCAATTAGAGCAGGCAGCATCTGCAAGACCTTCTTGAAGATGGTCCACATCCAGACAAGGGCGGCACAGGTCATGTCCATCGTCATGCTGCAGAGGAGCCAAGCAGGACCAGCAACAGAGATGCTCCATACTTAACTAAGCAACCAGTCAACTCAACATGCCAGAGAACGTCACCAGCAAGAAACGATACAAAACGCACATCAATCATTATATGGCCAACTAAACTTGGCATGGGAAGAAAACACCACCGGCTTCAGCTTTAGAGTAAATACAAAAAGAGCAGAATCACATATGCAGATGGAAGCTGCCAGTGTAATAGACTTATCCTAGCTTTCACAACCCCTGGAGGGCAAGCAGACTCACAGCGCCTACAATCAGTGGTTGCAGGGCTACCGGCAGCAAACTGATTAAGGAACCGGAAAGATAAATGGCTACCCAATTCCATAGAACCGTTCACCACAAAGATGATAAGGTTATATAGATTTACTTTGACCCCTGGTAGGTCACATGTGACTTTGTTGAGATAATTCTTGACCTGTGCAAGTGCAAGATTGATCATTCAGTATTTGAAGCACCGCCTCTGGTGGTCAGTAGGGATGAAATGGAACTAATCATGCAATATGATCAGATAAGATAGTTAGCATCTTCTTGGAAAAGATTGCATAAATGACTGTAGATCAATCAACGTTTAATATTTGGCTTTTCTATAGAAATCTGAAATAAGAAAATAAGCCTCAACTTTTAAAAAAAATATATGTAATTTAAGTTAGTTTTTTTATTTCTCTTGTTTATAAACAAAACTAAAAAGTTGGCATATTAAAATACTTTCTGGTGTGACTTGTAACATTCCCCAGTCTATGATTTGAAATAAAATAATGAAGGAAAGTCTCCACCTCCATCAACCATCTGTGCTAGCTGACCAAATGGTCCCTGATCTGCTCATTGAACATCCCGCTTTACAATTTACAGAATTCTCCAGCATTAAGTTTGTGGTTTTGTCTAATCTTTTGGAACAAATGAGTGTTTTGGGATCAAGGTTCAGTGTTTAGTCCCACAAAGCGGTCAAATATATATTTGCTGACTTAATCAGAAAGAAAGACATCCCGTCCGCTTTAGACACTCATAAAATTCCTCATGTTGAGATCAATTTTTTTTTTCTTGGGACAGACTTGGGTCAAAGTTTAACATACAGAGTGCCTTTACACTTTGCACTTATTAAGTTGGCTGCAGTGGTTACAGGAGTGTTGATGGTATCTCAGTCATGTTGTAGATGTCAGCATCAGTCTGGTTTGACTTTTAGTCGTTGGAAGAAAACACAACGTTAAATCTGTGCATGTATAAACAGCAGTTAGACAAAATCAAGTGATCCACTTATTATTTGGTGGAGCATTTTAAGCAAACTAATGCAGATGTGAGTCCTAATTGGTTCCTTTGTTGGCAGGTACCTTCTGTGCCCTGGACATCTGCCTGTCGCAGCTGCAGGATGTTGGCTCTCTTAACCTGTTTCAGACAGTGCGCCGCATGAGAACGCAGAGGGCCTTCAGCATCCAGACCCCAGAGCAGTACTACTTCTGCTACAATGCTATTCTGGAGCATGCCCAAAGACAGGGCCTGCTCCCCTCCAATCATTAAACCCCTCCCAGCTAAAGGACAGGTCTCTATACAGTTCTGCCATCACTCTGCTGATCCTGCAGCCAGACTGGGTGGCCGGTTGAAGGAAGAAGCCTTCTGACTATAAACAGGCTTTCTGACGCGTCGACACAACCGGTCTGCAAACCAAGTAAATGCATTAAAGTTTAAAGCTGACGATGTGTGATGATACTGCAGCTGTTAACGGTGTGATGCTATGGATATGTTGAAAATATGCAGAAAAACACAGCAGATCAAGCAAAATGCTCAGTGTTTTAACGGGCAGCACAGTGAGGTAATACAATGCCTTGCAAAAGTCTAGAAACCTTTAAACAACTTCAGTGCATTTAGATTTCACTTGATTAGTCAACAGAAGGAATTAAAAAAAGGTACAGGTTTTTAAACTTAAACTAATAAAAGAAGGGCTTTTTTTTCCCTCATGTTGAACCAGTATCCACTGAATTTACGTGTGTGAGTCTTCAGGGCTCTATCTCTCAGCTTATCTAGTTACTACATTTCTGTGTTTTTGCTTCTCTGAACAGCTGAAGAGCCCAAGGTCAGTCTGAATGGAGAGCTTTCTTGAACATGAATTTACAATTCTTGCCACTAATTGTCACTTATTTTTAGGTCTGTAGTTATACTGAGACATTCTGAGAACATATTATGCTTTGGGCTGTAGCTCCAACTGCCTCCCAGCTGAAAGATCAACCTTTATCCTAAGTTTTTCTCAGCCTCTTACAGGTCTTACAAGGAATGCTGTGGGACCAGTACCCTGTCCCTGCAGCATGATGCTGGCAACGCTATCCCAGGCCACAGTGTCTGTGGGGTTTATGTCCAGTGACCCAAACTTAATCCTTCACGTTCTCCACTAATGAAAATAGCAAAAATATTTCTCTGTGCTTTCTTTTAACAAATACTTTCTTCCTGTGATTCAGAGGGCAGATATAGTTGTCCAATCAACAGATTCTCCCATCTATGGATCGTTGCATCTGAGCTGCTTCTCTGATTGAGATTTAAAATATTTCTAAAGCTGAAAATATTTCTTATTTTCTCCCTGTTCTTTCTCTGCTGTGTTCCTTCTTCTTCACTAACTATCTCAAACTCCCTCAAATCTTATCTGGGCGTGTTGGCCTAGTGGTTTGAGCTGTGAGCTTGTGCTCCGAGAAGGTTGCAAATACCCAGTTCAATTCCCACAGCCTGCACTCTGGGTTCTTGAGCAAGATCCTTAATCCCACACTGCTACCCTGGTGCCGCACAGTGGCAGCCCACTGCTCCCCAAAGGGACAGGTTAAATGCAGAGATAAATTTCTCCAGTGTGAGATCAATAATATTCAATTATTATAATATATAAACACACCTCAGAGGTCTTCACACAGCGTGCAACCACTATTTTCCAGTTATATGACCTCTGAAGAGGATTTTAGTTATAATTAGCGCAAAGAACCAAGCCAATGTACAGATCGCAGATCATGTAGATTCTTTTTTCCATTCTACAAACATATGTTGGTGTATTTGGAAAATCCATATAAAATGCATTTATTTAAAGGTAGTATTTTGCAAGGGTGTTTATACTTTTCCAAGGCACTATATTTACTCTCACTTGATTTAATCATAAAAAGTATCATTTTTTAGTTCTTTTTTTAGTGAATATTACAGAATTGAATCATTTGGTCTGATGCTCCTTTAAACTGTTGAATGTTGCAGTATTGAACCTTAAACATCAACATTAACCTTACATTACAAAACAGCTATAACATTTTGTTTTAGAGCTACTGTAGAAATGATCATGTAGTATATAGCCAAATGAAACGACCTTGTCTTAAACTGTTTTATAGCAGAGGTTTCCTTGAGTTTTGGAGTGAAATATTCCTTTAACCGGTAGATCTTATAGTGTGAGAATATGTTTTTAATTCTTTATTTCCTTGCAAACCTTCAGCACAATGCATCTATGGTCCATGGTGAATAACACAAGGAATTGGGGAGTTAGGGCCACAAATATGCTGCCTAATGTCATATTTATCTGAAAATTATCACTTAAAATTTGTATATTTTCTTCCTGCCAAAGTGAAGAAAGTGGGAGCAAATCATCTTTTGAAACCTGAACACTCCCAAACGGCTGCTACATTTTTTGACTGAATGCTCCTGCAGTGTCAAGCCTCCCTTTTTTCTGCATGTTTTCTTTTTTTGTATGACACTGAAGAGGTAAAACCTGCTAGTGTTCATCTTGCCTAGTATATTCAAAGCTTTTGACTGCCTTATCTGTGTAGTATTGTACTGCAAAGCTGCACAGACTTTTATTTAAGGCAGTGATTGTCAGAAATGTAAATTGATGTAAGACCTCACGAGTAGTGCAATACATTTTGTTTTTATGCATAAATCGTGTCTTAGCACTTTTTACACACAAAAAAAAATTCCTATGTGTTCTGGTATTTCAGAGTGGTAATGGGAGGAGAAATAAAGATTCAGACGAGTATGTGGTCTCCATGTAATTCTGGGATTGTTTATATTTAGGGAAACCTGAAGATATTTACTGTTATCTGCATAGAGCTTTGTTGGGATTAATGACAATGGACTGAACTTGGAAACCGGACAGCAGTGTTGTCATGACGGGTCAGCCACAAACTCCAAGTCCTCTTTGGACAATTGGGAGTCAACAAGTCCTTTCAATATGTCCCAGTTTATGGCCATTATTATAGTACATGTACAAAGCTGCATTGTGTCATTTGTGTTACATTCTTTACTCCACAATTCATATTGAATTTACTGGTGAAGCAGTTTTTTTTTTTTTTAAGCGCCTGAAATTTTTACTTTTTCTGATCGTAGAATTAATTCTCCTTCCAGTAACGGACACAAAGTGCTGCTTTTTTATTATATTCAGCAACTGTTTGCATGCAAATATGCAGTTCCCCGTTAATTTTATATTTGTTCTATTACAACATTCTGTTTTCTCTCTGTATCTCTTTGCGCATTGATTCATGCTATGCTGTAATAAACACCAACTGTCAGTGTGTATCTTAATGGTGCGTTTCTTTTTCATTCTCTTGAATGGTGGGCACAGATTTTTCTTTTTAAATCAAGATTAATCTCATTGTAATCTTGGACTAAATTAAGATTAATCTAGATTAAATGGCTAATTTGAATTCTGCCAAAGGCATTCATGATACGTGTGTGCTACCTAAATGAGTAAAAGTAAGTCTTTGAAAAGGTTTGTATCATATGAAACTCTAGCTGCAGAAATTAAATAGGCTAAATAAATACCATAGAAGCTACATTTTCATTTTCCCCCTTTACCCATGTTCTGCCATATGCCATGATCGTGGTTTTGGACATTGGAACCAGTGTCCATGTTTCATCTTGACGTGATGAATGAAGAGGCTCTGTTGAACTGTCCATTCCACCTGCTCTTACCAGTACTGATTGGGATATGGGATTATTTATAAATAAGATTGATCGTATTAAAAATAAGATCATTAGCACTTCTCTATCTATGATTGGTTTGTCTCTGGAGGGTGGGGCAGCATCTGAGGTAGTCATGGAATCTAAACCAGGTTTACACTACTTTGATCCAACTTTCAGAGTTAGCAAAATTATTGTCTTCATCTAAGCCTTCAACTTGTATGTTAGATCCAGTTCCAACCAGGTTATTTAAGGAGGTATTCCCTTTGATCTCCTCCTCCATTTTTGATGTGATTAATCTGTCTCTGTTACAGGGATATGTACCAAAGGCTTTTAAGGTTGCTGGAATTAAACCTTTGCTTAAGAAACCGTCTCTTGACCCAGATGACTTGGTCAATTATAGACCTATATCCAATCTTCCTTTTTTATCTAAAATTCTTGAGAAAGTAGTTGCCAAACAAGTTTGCGATCACTTACACCATAATGAACTTTTTGAAGAGTTTCAGTCTGGCTTTAGAGCTCATCATAGCACTGAAACAGCTCTGGGGAAAGTCACTAATGATATTCTCATGGCCTCAGATAATGGACTTGTATCTGTGCTCATCCTGTTGGATCTCAGTGCTGCATTTGATCAAGTTGACCATAATATTCTTTTAGAAAGACTTGAATATTTTGTTGGAATTAAAGGAACAGCACTAGACTGGTTTAAATATTATCTATCTGATCGAATTCAGTTTGTTCACGTTAATGACAAATCTTCCTCATCTTAAAGGTTACCTGTGGAGTACCACAGGAATCAGTGCTAGGACCAATTCTCTTTACTTTATACATGCTCCCAATTGGTAGAGTTATTAGACAGCATGGGATTAATTTTCACTGTTATGCTGATGATACCCAGCTATATCTGTCTATAAATCCAGATGAAGCTAACCCTTGAAGACATAAAAACCTGGACGACTCTTAACTCTCTCCTTCTGAATGCAGACAAAACAGAAGTTATAGTCTTTGGAACAGAGTCTTTGAAAAAGAAGCTGATTAGCCAGTCACTTCATTTGGATGGGATTAAACTGATTTCAGATAATAAAGTAAAAATTATTGCCGTTATTTTTGATCAGAACCTGTCATTTAAATCCCATATCAAAGAGGTTTCTAGAATGTCCTTCTTTCATCCTTGGGATATTTCAACAAATAGAAATATCCTGTCCAGGGGTGATGCTGAGAAGCTAGGTCATGCAGTTATTACTTCAAGGCTGGACTAAGTAACTCTTTACTATGAAGGATTGCATTCAAGTCAATGAGTCGATGCAATCAACTGGCTTTCCTTAGAAGGCTTTGAATGGGTTTGACTGTATGATCTGGTGAACTGTAACTGTATGCTACAGTTAAGATATTTTCAGCTGTTGCTGAATTTTAATTTATTTCACTTAGATTTTAAACACTGATATAACATTACTGTTCATGTGTTCATTTAATGGAATCCTCAAGTCTATTCGCTGCTAGCTATTTTAAAGAGAGTAAAGAATCATTCAACTAAAGGTTATTGGTTCCTGATTAAGCAAATAATTTAATAAAACAAAATTTGGCTAAAAGTTTTATTCACCTCATGGATTTGCATTGTGAATTGGTTTGAAAATGTTTCAATTTCTCTAAATGAGTGAAAAGCTCATTTTATCATATTCTTCCAGATAAACTTTGATTTTCAAACACTAAATCCATCTTGAACTGTAATACGGTTTTCAACCATGTTCCTCTTCCTCTTTGTACATAGTAGTTTAGTTTAGACGAGTTCACTAGTTATAGTTTAGAGTTTTAAACTGAAATATGTTTCACTTGGTGTTGAACGATTTTTGTCAATAAATTCTTATATTTTGAACAGAAGTTGTGTTTGTGGAATTTATTCCATGTATGTGCAGAAAGATCAGTTTGTCATGATTTAAGCTCGAATTACTCTTTCATTTATTGTTCCAACACACAGCTAGAAGGGCGTATGGTTATAAACAATATACTGTATAACAGCCCAAATAATAGCCGATTAAATAGGATATTTACCACCCCTACCGGGGAGAGCAATAAACATTTTAACCTATCAGAAAATATGAATTCCCAGCTGGCTGGGAATTGAATATAACAGTTATTCACTACATTAATATGGCATCCAACCTGGATGGGCATTGAATATAAATTCACAACACCCATATTGACACAAGCAACCATCAAGAAGCAAACATAATATTGTGGTAATCATTTGTGCTGTCGTGGTGAAATGAAATTTAAAATCGCATAACATAGCCTTCCTAAACCGAAAGAGGGAAGTTCTCAGCTGGCATGGATGAGATGTACAGTAATGCCAAGGTAGTTATCATTTTTGACAGATGTCCGTTGGTCCCCCCTCAGTGCTACACACGTCGCCTCTAACATCTTCTTGCCTTTCACGGCTTGATCCACGGCATGCTGGTCATGTATTCTCCTCATGATAGTTCACCTCGTAGTTGGTTTTACTAATCTTACTACTTTATAAGATGGGTCACCTTTGGCGGCCTGGAGAACAAGCTTGTGTCCATCATCTTTAACATGCTGATGGTCCGGCAGCTGCTTACAATCCAATGAGCGAGGAGATTGGTTAGCTTGGCTGATACAGCTGTGCTGACGGGCTACCCTCGGTTGCACTGAAACATTATAGATGGACAAACATGACTCTGCCCCATGCTACATCAGTGCTTGGCCCAGCATCTCCCGCATTGGCTAAGGGATGCTTTGTGTTTAAGTGGTACTTGAGACTGGAAGTCAACTGATTCCGCACTGCACAAGGTGCAAACAGTTTTATTCTCCTTGAGGTTTCCATTGGGAAGCTTCTTAAAAAAAAAATTCCCATACGCAAACCTGGTGGCTCTATAGTTGCATCCATGTTAGCATATCACATTCAATGTGGTTATTTAAGAGTAGGCCTACACAGGTTCCAAGACTGATTTTTTTCTTGCCCCCAGATATACATCCATGTTAAAATATCAAGGTGAAAGTCCTCATAGCTAACTTTGTGTAGACCAAGCTTCCAACCCAACTTTGAGAATAGAGTAACGGTGATATTTTTTTATCACCCAATAAGAATCTGGTATTGACGCAGCACATTAACACCGACGATGGTCTGTCACTACTCTTGACAAAACGGATTAATTGTTTTTTCTTTTGTCTCTTTTATTTATATATTTTTTTGCAATCACATTATAACATTTTGGTTTTTATGTTGACCTGTTGCTGCATGTTGCAAAGAAAATGAGGGCCTAGAAAGGCCTAAGCAGGAATTTCCTTCAGTTGCCTTCTCTCATTGTGGTTTTATTCATTTCAGGTATGTCAACCCAAATTAGCTGGAGAAACATTTAAAATAATCAAATTTATTTTATTTTATACAGATTGATTGATGGGCTGTAATCCTATAGTTTCCACATAATTTTTTTTTCCTTTACAACTGTAAATATTACCAATGGAACTAAGACTATAGTCTCTATAGCATCTTTCTCACTGAAAATACCGGGTTTAACATGTTTTTCAAACAATCAGCATTTGGCTACCTTCTCAGTTCCAAAAAAAGCTTGGAAAATTAGAAATCAAGAATTAAAAATGGAGAGAAATATGAAAGGAAGCCCGGGCGTAGTCAGAGTGCTTTATTGTTTCGCTCCATTGTCTTTACGAATCCCTCTTACCAATGCTGGTCCATGTTTATCAAATGTAAACAGAGTTGTTTCAGCTTGTTAGATCATACCTGTTTCCAACTGGCCGAAAAACCCTTTAAACCCATGAACAATCAGCTTTTAGTGGCAGTGGAAACAGCTCACTGACCTGATTCCACCCGGGTCAAACGACTCGGCAAGCATCCGCCGTTAAAATCGCCTTGGCTCTGATCGGCATGCTTTGGGACCACCAGAGCCGGGCTTACTTGCTTAATTACGTGAAACCATTGAACGCAAAGTATGGACATCAACACACCTTGTTAGTCACTTCTGATCTAACAAGCCAAAACAACTCTGTTTCCATTCAGCAAACATGGCGTAACACTGATGAGAGGAATTTGGAGGGACAAAAGAGCGAAACATTAAAGCACACTTTGCTATTTCTGTCACACTGGTGACATCATCAACACTTACCCAGCGTGATGGTGTCCCCAGACACACAGCTGCGGCTGGACAGAGGCCAGGCAGCTTACCAGCCAGATTTTTTTGCCAGTGGAAAGGGAGCCAAATGCCAATTGGTAACGGGTCGACACATGTTTGAAATACGCGCGTTAACCCGCTACTTTCAGTGGGAAAGAGGCTCAACAGTGACTGAGCTAGTAAGGGTGCTGGGATTTGGTATAAAACATGTTTGGGTGTTTTCCAAAACTCTTGAGAGTTGTGGCCATTTTAGATTCTTCTTTTTATTTAAAAAAAAAATAAAAAATAAAAAAAATTTGTTTACCAAAAGCTAATGCATTTAGGAGAATAAATAAAAAAAAAAATCTTAACTCCTGAAAAAATAAACAATCTCTCTTAGAGCTTTGTTAGTCAAAGCATTTATGTTTATGTCAACTGATTAATTAAATTAAATCACGAGTCACACCAAGTTCAGATAAAATGGAACAAAGTTTGAAA